AGACATTTAGGCCTCACCTCTGGTCTTGAGTTGTGGTAACTTATCAATGTTCAACATCTGGAATTTTTAGCCCTGAACTTCTAGTAGCTGGTGTTTCTTCCAGCAGTGAAGTAGCACAAGAAATGCTTCATTTCTATATTTACTTTAATATTAATACAATATATATATATATATATATATATATATATATATACACACACACACACATATATCTGGGAATCGATACTTTTCGGAGCTACTCCATTTGATTGGCTGAGTTTCACTGAGCGGTGCAACAACACTAGCTGTCAGATAAAGGTGAGGGGTCTCATAAAAAGAAATAAAAACATGATCTGATTTCAAAGACACTGCCAGTCGCTCAAACTCACCCTCACCCTCACCCTCCTCTCATCACCTCATCAAGCGACTGACTGAAAACCAGAACTCCAGACTCATTTCATGCTGTGATGAGCTTTGGGTCTGCTGCTCACCAAGCTGAGTAGTGAGAACAAAATACTACACAAAGAGTGCACAGGTTTTGACTTGGCGTGTGTTGCTTGCCGTGCCAAAATTTCCTCACAGTAAAAGTCTCTCTTTGTTTCATTCCTGTCAAATTCTTTGGCAGCCAATTCTGGCAATTTCTTTATTGTGAAACAGCTGCAAGAATATTAAAATAAATCTTTCTTTTCATTACTCAGCTGGTGAGCAGCAGACAAGCTCTCACAGCATTGATAAGAGTCTGAGTTCTGGGTTCAGTCAGTCTTGATGAAGGGTGATGAGAGGAGGGTGAGGGTGAGGGGAGTTTGAGCGACTGGCAGTGTCTTTGAAATCAGATCATGTTTTTATTTCTTTATGAGCCCCTCACCTTTATCTGACAGCTGTGTTGTTGCAGTGAACTCAGCCAATCAATGGAAAGTAGCTCGAAAAGTCGCTAGATGTTGTGATATGCTCATTTGCATATTCAGTATGCAACTACATATACATTCTTAAAAAAATAGTGGAAAAAATAAGTGAGCAAACTTAACACTCATCTCATCAATAAGCATCTAAATTTACTTCCAGTTTGAAATCCACAGACTGTGGAACTGAGGTGTTGAGAATAAAGAGGAATAAACTGTTAAACTCAGAGGATTTGGGACAAAATAAAAAGGTAAATACTCAAGTTTAATCACTGAGAACAGACACAAACGAGAGGGAATCACCTGACAAACAATAGACATCAGTGATTGGCTGTTTTGTTTCTGTCTGGCTGCTGATTGGTCGACGGAACGTGCTGCTGAACCCCTCTCCCCCACCCTGCACCCTTTCCTCTGCCTGCTGCCTGACGGGTTGGTCTGCTTTCCTGGTATTAAAAACCAATGAGTGGAGTTTGGGAGGGACATTAGGAAATGACCTACACTTGAGCAGCTCGAGCCTCAGTTTACTCCACTGGCTCCCAAGCCTTCATCCTCATCCACACACTGCATTTCTGTCACCATCTGCCCCTCTGAGTGACTTCATACGAACTCTGCTTCCTGTTACACTTTGTAACCACTTACCTGGTTTCACCTTCTACCTATTACCTGCCCTGTCACATTTAGTTTCACCTGTTCCTTATTACCTTTGCCTCCTTTGTATAGCTCAATGTTCTGTGTTCCCCTCATCTTCTTGTTTGCCCTTTAGTTGATGTCTCAGTATTTTCTACTGTTTGGTCTCCTGTTTCGTTGGATCTCTGTGTTTTAGACTGTGAATTATTTCAGTTTCTTCAGATTTGTTTTGTACTTGCTGTGCTTTTCTGGTCTTAGTCTCCTTACTTGTTGGCTTTCTTTGATCTGTGCATTTTTAAAGTCTTTACTCTCTACCTGCCTGTAAACCCTGGACACTCTGTTACATAAAGTAATTGCCTATCTATCTATCTGGCCCACCTGTCTGTCTGTCCATCCCGTTTCCTTGCAAACGTGACACATTCATTACTGACCTACAGTATCTGACAAAATAATTATATTTGTTTTACCTCAAGTTTACAATAAATGTAATTTGTTTAAACATCATTCATGAGTCATTTCCTTCTGGGCCAGTTCATGAAGAAGCAGCAGAAGCAAAATGAATCAACCATTGTTTGATTTAGTGCAAATTCTGTTGCACAATTGCAACAAGACAAATATGCAAAACATAGCTCAAACTGCTCTCTGCATGGGGTGATGCATAGTTTGACTAAATAGAAAATAGTCTAAAATTGGAAACATTGCTAATTTAGATCAGGAAGTAACTGATCAAAGTCAACAATCTGACCAAACATCTGATTGCCACTTTTTATACGAGACACTTTTCACTGTTCAGATCTGGTGGGAACATTTTGATCGGTACTGATGAGGATCTGATCCAGCTCCAGTGTTTATAGATACTGTATTGTCTGCACTCTGTCAGTTGAATCTACACATTGTCAGTATCTACTGTACGTGCATCAGACATTTAACTGCTCATGATGCTTTGTCAGGACAAAACACTGTCAGTTCCTGCTACTACATTTTTTAATGGCAGCTACAACAGAATTTATTTTAAAGGTGTTGTAATTCTTTGTTAAAATTAATCAAGAAGACATAATTAAAATGTGAGCCCATATTTACGCTACAATAAAAGTTGTATATTTTCTTCATATGCTGCAGGCAGACTCGGCACAGATCAGTCAGTCCAATCAATATAGGCAACGAACTCTTCTAACATTCATGAACACCATCATCACAACACAACAGGGACAAATATTTCCTTAATGTTGCTAAAACAAGAGATGGTGAGCTACGGACATTCAAACAGATACTGTCACAGAACAGGTTTACCTTCCATGCAGCAGTCTCCGATGATCTCTGGCACGATGCCGTAGAAGGCCAGCTCCTCGTCGAAGGCCTGGATGCACTCGTTTCTCGGGTAGTGGAGCTTCCAGTGCGGTAAAAGTTCAGATGTGTCGGAACATTTCAGGGTCCCTGTCAAAGAAGTACTCCTGCGTGTCCTCATTGTAGAAAAACTCCTTCTCTGAGGAACCCAGCAGCGTGTCAGGGTAACGGTCCAGAGTGTTCTTCCACGTCTGGACAAGTGGAACAGAGAGAAAATCAAACACATGTTTCGTACCAGCAGCGACAGGACCATCATGGACATCCACCAGAGAAGAAGATATTTAACTCTCCCCTTAAAGACTGTTGGCTGAATGCACAACAACAAGCCACTAAAGGGCAACAGCTACAGATATAAAAGACGCAATACAATGATCCCACTGTTTGTTGTTTTAGTCACAATTTTGTAAATGAATCTTTTTCAATAGAAATAGAACAGATGGAAACTTTTCACACACATTAATAAACACAAACACAAGTTCCATTTGAAGGATTACTGCATGTTGGGAGTGTTGAACCGTCACCAGCTGATGCTAACAGTGACGTAGCGCCTGTTTTATGCCTCATGTCATTGTTTATAGTCTATTTTTAAAGCATTATTGTATGTTTCTGTTTTTTCTCCTAGACCTTCCAGCTGCTGCGTGTTTGTTTTTTAAAAATCAGGATAAAGTCACAGACCTGACAGGAACTTTTTCTTTGTGCTGCCACCACAGCAGAAAGTGCAGAAGAAAGCCACCAAATCTATTTTTGTTCTACAGCCATTTTGTTTTATTATTTCTGCCCAGATCACATCAGTGCGCTGATTAGACGCACACACTTTACAACCCGCAGCTGCTGAAGCTGGAGCATCATGACCCTCTGTAGTTCTGGATCTAACAGTCAGACGTCAGTTGATCAGAGACTAACACATTCTGCTTTATTAAAAAAGGCAACAGTACAAGACTGTCTCAATAACAATGTCAAGAGTCAACTACAAGTCCCAGAGAGCATTGCTGTGAGAGACAGCAATCAGAGGAGCTTCAGATTCTGTTGCAGGGAGCATAAAGCAAAGATACTCTAACAACACAGGATGGCGCCTTACAAGAAGGTTCAATGGTAATGATTGGTATACACTTCCTGTTATCCTAAGTGGGCGTTGGTCATGATTGCTTGTTTATGTCAAAGCATAACAACAATACAACACTAGATACAGTATGAATTTTACGCCTGATTGTGGTGCCGTTGTTTACCTTGTTTGCTTTCTATCTGATCAACTCAGTACAAGGTCATATCAGTTTAATAATATTCTGAATTGAATCTTGGTCTGCAAAATGCCATTAATGCCAGAATGTTTGAAAGATCGGTGGCTTGTGAAAATGGATCCAAGTATTTGGGGGCGAAAAGAATCAGTCATAATCTGTGATCATGTTCACTTCTCCCACTGGAGTGAACAGACTCAGACCTGCTGCTGGTCTCCTAAAGGGGCAGGGTGGTGGAGAAACCCATGTATTTAGAAGTCTCGTCACACTTCACACTGAATGATAAAAGTCTGCAAGGAAAAGCCACTAAATCTCTGCATGAAATCTCCCTGTACATATGAGAGTGTTTATTCAAATGTGTGCGTCTTGTTCTGTCTGAGCTCTGTTACATAAAGTAATCAACATCTATTTGCAAAACCCTGCAGCTTTAATTTAGGATTATCTGTTGTGAAAAAATTAAACAGCTAAGAAACAAAGAGGCAGACAAACATCACAGATGAGATTCGGGTTGTTAAATATGTTTGAAATATAGCAGAGGTGAAGAAAAAACTCTTCGACCTTAAAATCACAGTGAATTGCAAAAAGAGACGTGGACACAGAATCACCTCACTGTCAGAGATTGATGAGACATTATTAGACAGACGTCGCCTGTCATGATTATTTTTATATTGTTGCACTTCAACATGAACCAGCTCAGTTCATCTAATGCAAATGAAACATTAAAGCCACTAAAATCTCACAGCTTTAAATTCATGCAGAATGATTGCAAATGAGGTCCATTAACAGATCCTCAGTATCTGCGCTGCATATACAACATGAAAGACATCAAAGGCAGGGGGTCGATGTTAATCTAACACAACTATGTTTCACCCTGAGAGATGACATTCTTGTTCTCGGAGTAAAAGGAGGAGCCTTCAGCTGCTCATTATAAATGAAGCTGAGCGGCTGTTCCAACAGTGAACATGTTGAACCACAGCTGACAATCAGTTATCCATGTTAATATCGTTCACGGTAATGTTGAAGCGTTCTGGACACTTGTCGACCTCTGAGAGGCGGTTTCAAATCTACACACACTCACAAAGACAGACTTTGACGTCTAAATTCATCCGATGCAGAAAGCAGTTTTAGGTCTTGACTATCTTAATCCAGACTGTGGTACAATGAATTCTTGGTAAATAAAGACTGGCCTCAACGGCTGAGCTCCATTTACGCAAGCAGAAAATGTTTGTCTTTAGGAAGAATTCAACAGTTACAAGGACGTTTTTGGAAATTCAGCGAAGAGTGAAACAATAAAAATAAAATTTGATTTAGAAAAAAATCTCTGTAGTCTCTAACAACTCTTTCCCTTCTCTTTGTGTTCTCCATAACCATGCTAGCAAACAACAAATTATGAGCCATGTTTTCTGTTTCTTGTTGTCAGGTGCTACTGGTCAGTGCAGGTGTCATTGATTGTTACCATGGTAACACTGGTCTTAGGCTTGAGTTAGTTTGGGGGTAAGGTGTCTGTCAGTCTCTTTTTTTTGAAACAGTCTGACTTGCATTAGACTAATCTGTGAGCAAAATTAAGACCCGACCAACACAGACCAGTCTGAAAATCTCTGTGAAACCGACCCATGAGCAGCTGATGAATCCTACTATAGAGCGTACACACTGAGGGTGACAAATCAGATCTCTGATTGGTCAGGAAGCAGCCCAGCATGCTTAGGCTTACACTCATGTTGTACAAATCTGCAACGAGCATGAGGCAGAGGGACCTTTATGTTGTGGTGGAAAGATAAGATAAAAATTAGATAAAATGTACTTTTAAATTATCAGTGTTGCTTCATCACATTTATCTCCAAACATGGTTAAAAGCATCTTTACAAGCCTGAGGTTAGGGTGTGGAGGTCAGGTGGGTGTTTGGGTGTGTAGCTGGAGACATTTTCTATAACCACACTCTGAACCGTAACCACATTGTGGTTTTAAAAACGTTGGCACTGAGTGAAACTGTCCTCCCAAGAAGAAAAACAACTGTGATGAAAAATGACTTTCTTCCTCTCCACTTCACAGTCAAACCTCCCTCCTGCATCGCTACTAAAGGTCAACACTCCAGCAACACTTGTGTAACAACTTTGTTGCATCTATCTCACAATAAAAGGAGAGAAATCAGTGTAGGATGTAGAGGTCAGGGTGTCTGGATGCAGACCCCCCGCTCCCGGATGGTAGTCAGACACTAACGTCTCTAATAAAAGTCAAAGACTACTTAATGCACTGGCACTAAACATCAGCAATGAATGTTAAATCAGGAGGTGCAGCCTTGTCCAAGTATGAATGTAATTCCGAAGGACAACTGGGCTGGAGGATGGTAGAAGATTTGGAGCATGCTCAGCAGACGCGCAGCACCCACCTGAAACCTGACCCCGCTGAACATTGACGTACAGGATCTCATCTGATCTGGACGAGTTGTCCACTGGAGGTTTGGGCATCGTCTTCTTGGCCAGCGGCAGCCAGCCCACCGCTGCCGCCCGCGCAAACGGCAGCCAGGTCGCCACGCCAGCCGCCATCTTGCATCAGAGCGTCCCACCTGTAGGAGTGAGTTCTGTCCTCTGGGGAAGGAGGAGCTAACGGATCCCAGTAAGAGCCTCAACTAATAATTGTCGCTCACTTCTTCACCTGCCCTGATTTCCTCGAGCGCTCGGGGCAGCGAGAGAGGAAGTGGTCGGACATGTTGAGGGGGAGGAAGGGGAGAGGAGGAGGATGAGGAGGAGCAGAGGGAGGGGTCAGATATGACCGTTAGGTGTCAAGCCATGAAAGGAACACTGAGAAGGAGCGGGAAAACATCTGACAGGTATGTGTTCCGTCTTTTACTTTGAGGAGGTTGGGACGTCCTTCTATTAGATGGGGACAGAGACTTCCTGTTGCTTTCCAAAATAAAAGCTAGAATCTCTCAGAAAAGAGCTGAAATATTCCTGTTTTGAATATTTTTCTGATTCAGCTGTTGTTGTGTGGTTCTTTTAGTAAATAACAGACATTCTGCTCAAAATAACGATCTTGATTGAAAAACATCTCAGCAGGAGAAAATCTGTAAAACAATAAAAGTTTTTTTTTTCTGATGTTGCTGCCTCCGTTTATTGCCTCTGAGATTCACAACAACAAAAAGCAAAAGACAAAGATCCAGGCAGGAAAGTGTTAAAGCATCTGTGTCTGGCCTCGACCTCGCTGCTTTCTCTCTCTCTCTCTGTTTGAGTCTAGCTCTCTCACCCGCCCTCTCTCCCTCTGAAGACAGATTTGTTTGCAGCGCCGCAGCCTTTCAAATTCTTTTAAATTGTGATGATGGTCCCTGAAGTTGCAAGATAGACAGAATTGCCGGCCTCCCTCTAAGTGTTTCTCTGCTGTGGGATATTATGGATCTGCAGCCTCTTCCTCTCTTTCTCTTTCTGCTTTTGCTTGCTGTTTTGTCCTCTCTACTTTTTTTTTTATCTGTTCTCTCTGTCTTTTATCACTGTCTCTCTCTTTCTCTCTCTTGTTGAAAGTCAGCGCGGGTGGCT